ATTTTCACTGTAGCCCAACACAGTGCAGGGTACAGTCTAAGCTGGATTTTTCCATCCAAGCACATAGTATCTTACCATCTTGCTAGCTGCAGTGTAGTAGTAGCATCCCATTGATTCACATCTTTACCTATATCATGTTTTTTTTAACAATTCTGAATACTGGAACTGATGATTTCCCAGTAGGAATACTATTACAATGCAGCAACCTATTCTGATTAATTTGATCTTCATTCACAGCTGAGCCCAAACCATGTCCTTACATACTTATGACACTTCTGTTTCATAACCCAGTGACCTGACACATATAGACCTTATAACCGATGGTGTCACTTTGCTGGATGGCTTTAGAAGAGCACTGCTGGCAGGCTGCCAAAGCAGATGCTGGCCATAAAAGGGCTCCTTTGGACTATAGCTGAGCTAATTTTCATCTAAGACCAAGCGTGGACATAGAAAGCATGAGTTTTCTAGTGCAGATGTTTCTCCAGTGTAGGCTGGAGATCGTGTCATAGCAGGGTTGCAGGAGCAGGCTGAAGTGGTTTGATGATCAGCATGAGAAGATTACCTGTGTTAAAGAACCCAGAAGGAAATACCTGCTTGTTGGCACTGAATCATCTCCAGTTCTTAGAAAGCTGGGGTGAAATGTGGGTTTAATGGGCATGGAGGAAGTTACACATATGGTTTTCCCACTAGAGCTGGTAGCCCTGCATAGGATTTCAGCTTCTCCTTGAAGACTGGCCCCAGTTAAGATACTCCTAAGTTTGTGTCTATTCTCAGGTGGTTTGGTGAGCCTGTTATTTCAGAGCAGGAGTGAAGTTTGGTGCTTTTAGAGCCAGCGATTCTCAGGTGTCTCCTTCACCTAACCTGACTGAATGTTCACTCAGAAGGAGGTAGGGAGTTGTCTTCTCTGTCACCTGATTAAAAAAGCTGCAAGATACCAAGGAGAAGGTCCTTAATACAAACCAATGCCAAGCTTACTGTGTAGGAAAATTGTGTTAATAGTACAAACATGGCAACAGGAGAAAAGATGCAGAGCATCTTAGTGGCATCTATGTCATTCTTCTCTAGACACAGGGGCCATTGTTATATTTTAGGTTGGAAGAAATTAGGTTAGAATAATTGCTACTTAAATCTGTTACTTGCCTGTGTTTTCACTGAAAGCTGTCCTTCTTGGTGGCAGCGTTAAAGGTTAATGTCAGTCCTCACAGAGGAGCATCCCCTCCCAATTAGGTGATATATGGGAATGGTCACAGCTAGTAATACCAATAAGCAGTAAATCTTTCTGCAGTATAAAAAAGCTTTCCATCAATTTCTGGTGATGATATTAAGGAACAGGAGGGAAATAAAATAGGAAATAGGTCTCTGAGGTGAACTTTGTTCTGTTGGTGCTTTTAAAGTCTCGGGACATAATACAAAGGTACTTATGTACATAGCACAGGAGACATGACATTCCCTGGAGGAATGAGGCCATGCTGCATGGAATGAAAAGGTTTTCTCATCTGCTTTTGAAATCACCCTAATATCCTGCTTGCACTTCATTCAGCCAAACCCAGGAGGTGTGGGCCTGATCCTGCCAGCACTTAGCGTGCACAGATCACCATTTTTCCTGTGGCAGGAGTCCAGAGCAGTGTGATCCTTAACAGCGAACTTCAGCCAGGGATCCAGTCCTAAGGATTGAGTTGCTCATTGGCAGAATTTGTCCCTCTGATGGGAAAGGTTTGCTTTGGTTTTGAAAGTAGGAAAAATGAGCCAAGACAGATAGACAGATTCCCAGCAGCGTGGTGCCGGCTGCCAGCTACACGCAGTGGCAGCACCGCAGCAACTACAGATGCAGTTCATAGGCATCACACCGAGGACACGCAGAGAAACAGATAAGGAACTTCCCTTATCTGTTGTCCTTTTCAGGGCTTGAATGAGAATTACAGTCAGAAGGTAAAATTGAGCAGGTATATTTTAAAGGTGGCAGAGGAACTGGCCATCCATTCATTCTGGGCTCTGAGCTGCATCTGTAAATTACCTGAGCTTCCCAGGTTGACAGGGAGTTGCAAGACAGACCGAGACCTGTTTACTCCAAAGACAGCTATAGACTTAAGCTGCTTCATTACTTTGATTAAAATGCCTTTTTTTTTTTTTCATTGGGAAGTACTGATTCACTGAAAGAAGTATTTTCAAGATTTATTGCAAAGCTGTCGCTCCCCAAATGGTTCCTTTTGCACACATTATTATTTTAAAAAATTTCTTACATTATTTAATAACATGTCAGTAATGCACAGTAACAGGGTCAGTGATATTTAACATCTTGAATTGTAATTGGTGTATAAGCATGTAAGCATGAAATATCCCTTTGTGATTCTGAAATGGCATTTCAAAATCGTAAATATAAAACAAATTCTGGTGAATATGGATATATTTACTTTTATTACAATAAGGCATGAAATCAAAAGTTGAAATGTATCTAAAATAAAAACTGAGTTTCAACCAGATTTAATATGACATAGTAAAAACTAGTCCTTGCACCAAAGTATATTTGAGCCATGAATGCTGACAACAAACATAAGAAATTAGCAGAAGAACGTTTGAAAAGACAAACATCTTTAAGTAGACATCAGGGATCTGTGACACTAGTATAGGACAGCAGTGTCCAAAAATTGACTTCCTGAATGTTTTTCTGATGCATTTTCAGCTCTGAGGCTGATGATTGATTATTTATATAGGTAATGAGGAAACTCCATGCCTTTTCAGTAAAACTCTACAAAAGATGACCACGTGTGGTTTGGGACCTGAATCACAGAATTACCTAGACTGGAAAAGACGTCCAGGCATTCACCTAACACTGACCAGTCCCTGACTAAACCATGTCCCTTAGCACTATGTCTACACAACTCTTAAATACCTCCAGGGATGGCGACTCCACCACTGCCCTGGGCAACCTATTCCAATGCCTGAGAACCCTTTCAGAAAAGAAATTCTTCCTAACATCCAATCTAAACTTCCCTTGGCACAACTTGAGGCCATTTCCTCTTGTCCTATCACGCGTTACTTGGTTGAACAGACCAACCCCCAACTTTCTACACCCTCCTTTCAGTTAGGGACCTGCCAGCACTCCCAGTTTCACTGCTGATCCAAAGTACAACTACTTTTCTTTAAAAGGACTACAAGACTTTACATGTTCAGGCTGGACATTGGGAAGCATTTCTTTAGTGAGAGGGTGGTCAGACACTGGAACAGGCTTCCTAGAGAGGTGGTTGATGCCCCAAGCCTGTCAGTGTTTAAGAGGCATTTGGACAATGCCCTTAATAACATGCTTTAACTTGGTCAGCCCTGAATTGTCAGGCAGTCGGACTAGGTCATTGTAGATCCCTTCCAACTGAACTATTCTATTCTATTCTATTCTATTCTATTCTATTCTGAAAGACATTTAGCTCCTGCACCTCTTCAAGCTCATGTTGGTATAATTTAAGGGGGACCGAAGGGGCGGA